TTGACGTGAACAAAAACTCCAGCCGGGAACTTGATTTTGGGCATTGTTTTCCTCTTGAGAATTAGCATTGGGTTCAACTTGGTTCCGTCTGCCATGCATGAAAGTACTACTGTAAACCGTGTCTTTTCGTGTCCTGTTGTTTTCACTAACACTGTTTTTGCACCCTTTGTATCGACAGTATGATTACCGACCATGTCGAAGTTCATAGGTGTTTCATCCATGTTTCCGATGTTGCTTAATGGATAACAATGTTTCTTACGTTGTTGTATTATGTAGCGATGGAAATTAACAATTTTACAGTTAAGATCTGCTGGTAATTTTTGTGCTATTTTTGTCTTCTGCCTCAGTACCAGATTGCTTCTTTCCATAAAACGGCTACACCATGAAGTCGTGGCTTTGAAGTCTTTGCTGTGCTCTTGATTTTGTTTAGCCCACTTAAGTGCCCACATACGTATCATGTTTCTTGATACAATATACCCATTTTGACGCTGCTCATGGACCATGTCTACTGCGTGCTTCTCTAGAATCGGCCAGTGTGCAGTGCCTCTTCTCATTGCACATTTATTCCTGGGCATACTTCGTAGTAAGTGTTCCTTTGATCTCCAATCCCGCACCATCTTCTCAGTTACACCGTATTCTCTTGAAGCAGCACAATTGTTGTGTGACTGGGCATATGCTATCACTTTCAGCTTAAAACAAGCTTCATATCTCCTGCGTTTAACAATTGGAGCCATGGTGAGGTTTTGTGGTAGCTGGATACAGTATTAATATACCGTAGTGTTCACACGGAGAGAGTGCTATTGCTTATGGAGTGATAACTCAACAACTGGACAAGGCAAATGAGAGAAGGGGTCACCTTACACATGACCTGACGTGGTCACCTTACACATATATGGTAATCATTAAGAATCAAACTCCGAATCAGATGACCTGCCTTCTTCTTCATCATTGTCATGCTAAATTTACCACTGTCGGTAGTTAAAAGAATTAAAAGTCATTTATTGAATATTCTATGTAAAAAAATAAATGTTAAATTAATTATTTATAGGAGAAACGTATTATGATCAATAAATATAGGCGAGTAATATTTTATCACTTGGTGAATAATAAAAGACGGGATAAAATAGCCCGTCTTCCCCTCTTACAGCCAGCTAATGGAAGCGTATAATTAAATTGATGTTTATTTTCAGCTTGTCTAATTTATCATGTAACAAAATTAATATTACTAGAAATTGTGTAGGTAGTAGGCAGCTACCAAACAGGGGAGGTACTACTGCCTGGGAAGATATTAAAGCATAATGTGTTGTTAACAGACCTCGTTGCCATATGGCATCAATGGTAAATTAGACCAAGTCCCAGGTTGCTGACCTGATCTTTGCCTCATTTACACAATTGCAGGGTCTCAATTGTTTCTCTTACTGACAACACAACATACATACAGTATATTATTTTCAGTTTGATCTTTTTTTAATTTTGCAACTATGTGCTAGTTACTTAAAATAAGGCTAATTCACTTCAAGTAATGGCATCAAATATTACCAGCTGGTGTAGTGGGTAAACATCTAGTGACGCTATTTGAGCCGCCTGTAATTAACCGTCGAGCAGTTTCAAGAATTAATGCACTAGAGGGTCATTTACTGAATATTCTTTTGTAAAAAAAATAAAATTTAAATCAATTATTTATAGGAGATAAATATTATTATGGAGTAAACATACCATACCGGTGGTGCATTACTGACCACCTCCAATGCTCCTCACCGGCAAAATGGGGGGCGTGTGGAGGGGTGTGTGATGATAGCTGTGTTTATTACAGGGGTATAAATCTCTTTTACGGTATGTTAGACAGGTTTATAATACATTTTTATTATTTTAATATACCGGTAATCTTAATTTGAATCCAGCTTGCCAAACGTAAGTTTCAGTATAAAATAATTAGTGGTAAGACCTTGTGAGTGGCTTACGATGTTTTCATCACCACTCTTGACACACTAAACCACAATATTTAAGAGGTAAGAATTTTAAACTTGGTGGTTTAGACGACCCCCTAACTTTGGGCAGATTTTTTTAATGTTCAAATTTCGTCTTATAGGCCGTGATATACGGTATTCCTCGTTTATAGTTCGACCCACGTTTTTAAGGGTATTGGAACAACAAAACCTTCAGTAAAAACACTCTACGTCCTATAAACTGAAGCTCACCATGCCTGAAACACAGAGTGCCGAAGGCAAATTGTTTACCATTTATTCGACACTACACTGAAACGCGGGTAGTTTCAACAAAAATATTGTATATTTCCATTCAAGTATTTATTCAAGTCAATTAGGATGGAATATTATTGTAACAACAGTTTTTTTAACTGAAAACCATTCGAAAAGCAATTACGGTAACATCTTTTGAACGAAAGAAAGCGAAAGTCATTGCTTTCGTCACGATTTTATTCCACTTTCCACTGTAATACGTACGTCATTTCAGCAAAAATATCACATTTCCGTGAATGTATTATATCAAGCACAGTATGAATGGAATATCACTAATATAACAGAATTTTAACCGAAAACTATTAAAAAAACTAATACAGGTTGTACCTCTCTAGTCCGGCATTCCGTGGTCCGGAAACTCCCGTGGTCCGGAACGATTTTAGTTTGTCCAATAGGTAGATAGGCAGCTTGTTTTTTTTTTTTTTTTACTTATCTGAATTATTATTATTATTATTACAGGAGTATTAAATTTTTGCCCCTCAGGCCCCAATGTGGGTCAGTGACCTATGCCCTGGTGGGCTATTCCCCTTAAAAAAAAAAGCCGCAGAAAATTAAGGTTTGTTTACATCCGGCAGTTCGGCTGCTCTCTCTCTCTCTCTCTGCTTGTCTATACAGAGTACAACATTTAACCCTTCAATATATATGAGCAGTAAATAAGTGTTGCTTTCATATTCTTATGTAGAGTTCATATTTTCACATGTGCGCATATGAGCAGTCTCACTTTTTTTTTACCATTGATGGTTAGCTACTTATATTGTTCCATTTATTAACATTAAATAACATTACAGGTACTTCAAGCAACCATATTCATTTTTTACATTAATTTTACTACAGCTAAACTCAGGGTCTTATTTTCTTCAGTTTTATATGCAGAACCAATCAGTCACTGGTTTCGTAAGCTTTAACATAAACAATGCCGGCAGCCGTCTCGTCTCCTCTAATATTCCACGTATTATTAATAAATTGTATTGTTAATTTTGCACACACGTACATTAATTCAAAAAAAACAAATTCAGAAACATTAATTAAAATATATATGAACAGTAAATAAGTGTTGCTTTCATATTCTTATGTAAAGTAATGATGATATGTTTTCACGTGTGCGCATGCGCACTTACATATGCGATCTCTCTTTTTCTTTACCATTATCGTTAGCTACTTCTATTGTTCCATTTATTAACATTAAATAACATTACTTAAAACAACCATATTAATTTTACTACAGCTACAACCAAGGTCTTATTTTCTTCAGTTTTATATGTAGAACCAGTCAGTCACTGGTTTTGTAATCAACGAAAACAATGCTGTGTCATTTCCTCGTGTGTTTTAATATTCTACGTATTATTAATGAATTGTATTGCTCATTTTGCACACATAAACATTAATTCAATAAAAAAGACATTCAGTAATAAACAATAATGAATCTTTTGTACATAAGAGAAATGACGCTGTTTACACGATTATGCACGTCGTCTGCACGTTGGCGGGCCGTTCAAACCCGTCGAAATTCAAGTTTCCGCCGTCAAAATTTTTATTTATTTATTTTTTTGTGTGTTCCAATAAAATACGTTAAGAATTAAAAACTCGCGAAATTTGGGAAGCTACTATACGACATTTAACCCTTCAATATGTCTTCAAAGAGACCATGACGCAGAGAAAGTGGTGCTAGTGCTTCCAGGCATATGCACAAGTCACTATCTATCCAGGAAAAGGGTGAATTTCCATGGTCCGGCAATTTCCATGGTCCGGCACCGGTCAGGTCCCGAGGTTGCCGGACTAGAGAGGTACAACCTGTAACATCTCTTGAACATCGGAAGGTTAGGTGAAGTCTTTTGTTTTCGTCATGTAGTTTATACTAATTTACATTGAAATGCATCACGTTCCAGCAAAACTACTATTTATTTCTGAGAATATGGAAATGTAATATTTTTGCTGAAATGACGTACGTATTACAGTGGAAAGTGGGATAAAATCGTGACGAAAACAATGACTTTCGGTTTCTTTCGTTGTTCAAAGGATGTTACCGTAATCGCTTTTCGAATGGTTTTCAGTAAAAAAACTGTTGTATTACAATAATATTCTATCCTAATTCACTTGTGATGTAACAGTTTTTTAACTGAAAACGATTCGAAAAACACGTGTACCGTCTAGCTGATACGGCAGAGCCCTGGTCGCGGAGGCTTTGTTTTTGCATCGGCCCTTCTTAAGCAGCCTTTAATTTTAGCATTGGTTGAAATTGTGTTTACCGGTATATTCTTATTTTCTTGCTTCTATTTTCCAGAAATATGACAAGTTTGTATATAATTCAATGTTACGGTACTTTTAATTTACAAGTATTCATTTTTAAAAATACAGAAGACACCAAACAAATACCAGTACGGATATTTGCGTGACTCTCCCGCCAAAAAAGACCAAACAGCTGGTACTCTCTCCCTCAGCCCTACCAAAAATAGCCCAATGACATCTTTCTTGTTTATTGTCTTCCAATTTTCCACTTTAACTGGTATTTTCTACTTCATATTGCTTACATCAGATAAACTACAGTAATTGAGGTTAGAAACTGCTATAAATTTGATTACCAGGTACTGGCAGGATGCCGTTAGAACCACCTGACCCTACCAATAACTATATTTCTTGAGAGATAATTGTGATAACCTTTTGTAAGATGATGACGTTAGCATGATTTGTCAGGAATAAGAAATATCTTTTCTCAAACAACAAACTGAGATTTACGCTACTCACCTTCCTGCTCGACCTCGACGTTGTCTTGCATTGGCAATAGTGACCCACTCTGGTCGTAAAGTTGTCACATTAGCTTCTTTATCATAATTTTTCATTTTGATCCATCCCCCATCAATAACATAAACAATGTCATCTATAGTTATGCTAGTTTCGGCAATATTTGTTGCTAAAACGATTTTTCGTACACCTGGAAAAAATGAAGGTTAATGAATTGTATGAAAACCAATGATATGTTTATAAAATATCTGATAATTCATGAGGTACAGTAAAAACTTCAATACACTGGAATAATTGGGACAGACTCCAATCCGGAAAATGCAAAAAAAAAAAAAAGTGAAATGGGGGCAGGAGTCTGGACACAACACTGCTTATCTGGACTGTTTTAAAAAAATCTGCTGTTGTTATAATGTTATTACAGTACTGCACTTTAAAAACTAAAATCTTAAAGTGCATGACAAGGTTAGTAAAACACTATTACATCTATAAGAAAAAATATGAGATAAAACTTTCTTGGTTGGAAAATAGAATAATTCTGGACAATTTTTTTCACTGATATGATTGTTTCTCACTGTAAAATGTTATATGTAAGTACCCACAGAATTTGTTTTATGAATAAAGATAAAACTGTATACTGTGTGTAGATGAGAGTGATCCCTTTAACATGTCTTTAAGTAATTTCACCATAATTCTCATATCATTTATATTCAGTTGATGCCAGGTTGATAAAATTTTATCATAAAATAATAAAATTTCCCGAAAAAAGAATCCCACACTTTACACCACAACTCATTGTGGTCGTTTGTTTACACAGCCTAAATACGTCTAATGCTTATCACATCTGCCTTCAGCACTTTGTAAATGGTACCGTAGTGTATTTATCAGTACAGGTTGTACCTCTCTTGTTCGGCATTCTGTGGTCCGGAACGATTTTAGTTTGTCCAATAGGTAGATAGGCAGCTTCTTTTTTTTTTTTTTTTTTTTTTTTTTTTTTTTTTTTTTTTTTTTACTTATCTGAATTATTATTATTATTACAGGAGTATTAAATTTTTGCCCCTCAGGCCCCAGTGTGGGTCAGTGACCTATGCCCGGGTGGGCTAATCCCCTTTAAAAAAAAAACAAAGCCGCGGGAAATTAAGGTTTGTTTACATCCGGCAGTTCGGCTGCTCTCTCTCTCTCTGCTTGTCTATACAGAGTACAACATTTAACCCTTCAATATATATGAGCAGTAAATAAGTGTTGCTTTCATATTCTTATGTAGAGTAATGACGATATGTTTTCACATGTGCGCACTTACATACGCGCAGTCTCACTTTTTTTTTTTACCATTAATGGTTAGCTACTTATATTGTTCCATTTATTAACATTAAATAACATTACAGGTACTTCAAACAACCATATTATTTTTTTTACATTAATTTTACTACAGCTAAAATCAGGGTCTTATTTTCTTCAGTTTTATATGTAGAACCAATCAGTCACTGGTTTTGTAAGCTTTAACATAAACAATGCCGGCAGCCGTCTTGTCTCTAATATTCCACATATCATTAATAAATTGTATTGTTAATTTTGCACACACAAACATTACTTCAGTAAAAACAAATTCAGAAACATTAATTAAAATATATATGAACAGTAAATAAGTGTTGCTTTCATATTCTTATGTAAAGTAATGACGATATGTTTTCATGTGTGCGCATGCGCACTTACATACACGATCTCTCTTTTTTCTTTACCATTATCGTTAGCTACTTCTATTGTTCCATTTATTAACATTAAATAACATTACTTAAAACAACCATATTAATTTTACTACAGCTACAGCCAAGGTCTTATTTTCTTCAGTTTTATATGTAGAACCAGTCAGTTACTGGTTTTGTAATCAACGAAAACAATGCTGTCTCATTTCCTCGTGTGTTTTAATATTCTACGTATTATTAATGAATTGTATTGTTCATTTTGCACACAAACATTAATTCAATAAAAAAGACATTCAGTAATAAACAATAATGAATCTTTTGTACATTAGAGAAACGACGCTGTTTACACGATTATGCACGTCGTCTGCACGTTGGCGGGCCGTTCAAACCCGTCGAAATTCAAGTTTCCGCCGTCAAAATTTTTATTTATTTATTTTTTTGTGTGTTCCAATAAAATACATTAAGAATTAAAATCTCGCGAAATCTGAGAAGCTACTATACGACATTTAACCCTTCAATATGACTTCAAAGAGACCATGATGTAGAGAAAGTGGTGCTAGTGCTTCCAAGCATAAGCACAAGTCACTATCTATCCAGGAAAAGGGTGAATTTCCATGGTCCGGCAATTTCCATTGTCCGGCACCGGTCAGGTCCCGAGGTTGCCGGACTAGAGAGGTACAACCTGTATTTGATAATATTGTAATGTATTATGCATCTACATATTCCCTTGTTTATTCATTAATCAGTTTTTTAAGTTTACAGGTAGCCACACCATGTATCACTCACAGGTAGTAAATAATGTTGTTAGGAAGGTATCTCCATATCAAATACTATATACTGTAGTGTGTTATAGTAACCCTGTTGTAAGATGATTGGCTGACAGCTCTACAAGAATGCATCCTGAGTGAATGCCTGCCGATAATTTTCAAGTCAAATTACAAATAATACAGTATATGTGGATTTTTTTTTTATTGTTGAAGTGAGCAAGTGCTGTTCTTTCCAAAAGCATCCCTTTAACTTTATCAACTCCTTAATATACGTACAATACTCTATATAACTTTACCAAATTCTTAAATCAAGTATCCTCCTTAAAGACAATGCATACAGTGTACTCTACATAAAAAGTTCATGAGCGTAGGAAGCAAGGTGCAATGCACTAATACAATAAGTATGAAGGCATGATTCAGACTGATACACATGCTGTGCAACACCCACGCACAAATGTTCAACCATACACATGAACACACAAACAGTCCAGATTGATGCTGGATTTTCTGGACTTTTTTCCAGTATTTCTGGTGAAGAGGGGTGGTCCAGAGTACCCCCAAAGAGTCTGAAAAAAGCGAATTTTTGTGTATTGAAGTTCAAGTTTACTACAGAGGTTCCACTGAACTGCATTCATATAACGGTAACTTTTATTTATTAATGTACAGTTTTTATATGTTTAGAACATGTTTCTGTTCTTTTATTTCAGATGAACCAGCGAATGTAACCTAACTTGATCAGCCGTGAACCTAACCCTCTCTTATTGCATTGATTTATGTGGAGAAAACTGTTGCGTTATTCATACAATTTTTATATATATATGGAATTTTAGGAATGGAACCCATGTGAATACCAGGGGCTCCCTGCATATGGAAGACATCCTAGGCAAGCATGGGGCATGGAAATCCAACAATACCTGGCTAAGGCTACTCAACCTCTGTACCAAACACTGCCTCAACATTACAAATACCCAATTCCAGATGAATAATATGTTTAAAATCTCCTGGAAAATATCCGTTCCCACCACTGGCACCTCATTGGTTACATCATTGTCTGCCTAAGGAAATGAAGTATTAATCACACAGGTCGTTACTCGGGGTTTTTACTGTCCTGTACACTGTATTACCAAAAGTAAAAAAGAGAGAAATTTATAACACTCTTCAAAATAATAACATATAAAGTACATCAGTGTTAAGACACAGTACCTTCAGGTGGTCTATTGAATACTTCCCTCTGGTTGACTGTTGGCATCATGGAGTGTAGTGGGATCACTAGGTAATTGCCTGTAAATTAAAGAGTATTTTAATTATGAGAAAATCTTTCTCATATACTGTACATGGCATTTGAAGATCTAACCAAGGAAAAGTCTGGGAACGAAAAGTGGCCAGCATAAACAAAACCCATGAGTTGGGCCTTAAAACACAATTGTTAATGTGCAACTAACATCAAAAGATGTTGAAATGTCAAAAAGAAATAATTTTGATGTAGAAGATACATCAATCTTTACTGTATGCATAATTCAGTATATCACGGAGTCCATGAAAAAAAAATGGAAATGTGAAACTTATGGAAAAATAACAAAGACAAAGAGAAGACAAACAACATTTTGTGAGAAAACTGGTTGGGTCAGCAGTTCACTTACTGTACTGTGCCCTATAATATACTGTACAGTATACCTAACAATAAATACACAAAAGGCATGCCCAATAATGGACGAGTTGACGGTTCTGGGTAAACACAATACGCTCTGCCACGTTCGTAGAGTGATACGGTATACAGCTCCTCCCCGACTTACGACGGGGTAGGGACCCAAATTCAGGCCGTAAGTCGAAATGGTCGTGTCGGAAATGAGTACGTCGGTATAACTCATCATACCCTAACCTAACCTTTGATCTGTATTTTCTTATGCGATCAAAAATGTTTTGTGACAGAAATCCTGTAGAGATAATGTGTCTTATTGTTTAAAGTACTTGATTCCATAGTTAGAATCTTAAGGTTCCCCTGATGACCAAAACCCAAATAATATCAATATTGTTGTATGGTCAGCAAATATCCATTGAATTAGTTTTTGCGCTTAGTAATATTTATATTTTCAAAATATTATTACTGTGTTGCACAATCAAGCACAATTAATTATCTAATAATGTTTATTTACTGAGCCGATCAGCTGAGAAGGTTGGACAACTACAGCTGACTGCCTCCTGCTGGGAAGTTCACCTCAACCAGTGACGTCACAACCAATCACACAGCTTTTCGCAATCACGTGACTTTTTAGCAACTTTAGCCATAATTTTTTACACCTTTGACCCAATTTATTTAAAAATATCATTACCATAGTGAATTTAAGAGTTTTCTTTACCCATTGACCTGCCATCTTACGAAAAAATTCTGACCGTCAACTCGTCCATTCTGGAACAGATTATTGCCAGAGGTGTGCAGTACTGATATTTAAGTAATATTTTTCAAGAACAATTTCCTAAAAATTATGTTTGGAAATACTTTTACATAAACTTGAGAACATTTTAAGAGAAAATATTGTATTTTAATGTGAGTACTGAACATTTCTACCAAAGTTTGTAAAATAAATAAAAAAAATTCCCAATTATTTGAGAAATTTCCATGGTTCAGTCAACCCATCTGTGGACAAGGTAGCCAATCATTTGCCTTCATTGTCAGTCTCTTACTGGCATCACCCATGGACCCACAGCAGTGGTAAAACTAATTGTAATACTCAATGCTGCCACTTCAATATCAATAGCAAAAAATAATATTTATTCAGTAAAATCATCCAACAAGTTTACAATTGGTTTAGCATGTATCAGTGCAGACATACAAGAATAGTAAGTGTTTACTTCCTGGATCCTTGGCTTCATCTCAAGTTCTTGTTTTTACTCCTTAATTTTAGATCTTGGCCTTTCTTAAAACAAAATGTACACAATTTATTTATTTTTTAGTCATTCAAATGATGTAAAGTTATTGTAATGAAATACTGATGTACGATTCATTAAGTGTTTTCATGTTGATAAATAAGGAAAAAACATAGTGAAGAATTACTAACATACCTCTTTTAATGGAGCTTGGCCAATGTATTTTCATTTAACGGGCATGAAAAAAATATTAATTTAATAAAAAATGTATACAGGGGGTTCCCGGGTTATGAACAGGTTCCGTTCCCGAGGACGTTCTTAAGTCGGATTTGTACGTAAGTCGGAACACATGCTATATGCATACCATCCTTACGGAGCAATGTTTAAAAGCCTAAGTCCTTATATACATCTAAAATCACTTAAATTAAGAGAAAAGAAGAAATAGAATGATAAAATACAGAAAATTAAAGTAAAAAATAAGTCATCAGGTAAATAAAATACAGGCATCCCCCGCGTTACGGAAGCCCGGGTTACGGAATTTCGCTCTTACGGAATTTGTAAATTATGACCATTAATTTCGCGTAACGGCCCGTAAATCCGCCCTTACGGAAATTGGGGTAAATTTTAACAATTAAAAATAAAATCACAATACAAAATTAATTTTTTTTGTAGTCGTGCAAAAAGAAGCCGCAAATGCATTACATTGGATATTAAACTTGACGTTTTAAGAAGGTTTGATGCTGGAGAAAAACTTCGCCAGATTGCAAAAACATTAGGTCTTGCTACTTCAACAGTGGGAACAATCCGTGATAATAAGGACAAAATTAGGTCAAGTGCTCAAGCTGCTACTCCATTAACTGCTCGAACCTTGTATTTTCATCGAAGTGATGTGATGCTGAATATGGAACGACTCCTGAGTGTCTGGATTGAAGATCAGACTAAACGCAATGTGCCACTAAACACTATGGTTATTCAATAGAAAGCCATAAGTTTATATAATAATTTGCAGGAAGAGGAAGGTGCATCTTCTGAGGTTAAACCTTTTCTGGCTAGTAAAGGCTGGTTTGAAAGGTTTAAGAAGCGCCTTAATTTACACAACATAAAAATGAGCGGTGAAGCTGCCAGTGCTGATACAGATTCTGCTAATAAATATCCTGCCGAGCTGAAGAAAATTATTGATGAAGGAGGTTACACACCAGAACAAGTGTACAATGTTGATGAAACTGGGCTTTTCTGGAAGCGCATGCCTGCTAGAACTTATATTTCCACTGAAGAAAAATCAGCACCAGGCTTTAAAGCATCCAAAGATCGTTTAACACTTCTTCTGGGAGGAAATGCTTCAGGTGACATGAAATTAAAGCCCCTACTTGTGTATCACTCAGAAAATCCAAGGACTCTCAAGGGCTATGCCAAGTCTAATCTACCTGTGATTTGGCATTCCAATAAGAAGGCTTGGATGACTATGACCCTTTTCCAAGACTGGTTCACTAACTATTTTTGCCCTGCTGTAGAAAGATATAATGCCAGGCGTAACATATCTAATAAAGCATTGCTCCTCTTAGACAATGCACCAAGCCACCCAGTAAATTTAAATGATCTTTCTGATAATGTGAGAGTGGAGTACATCCCCAAGAACACAACTTCCTTGCTCCAGCCAATGGATCAAGGTGTGATAGCTAACTTTAAGGCATATTATCTTAGGAAAACTTTTTTGGAGTTCATAAAAGCAATTGATGGGGAGGATAAACCTACAATTAGGGACTTCTGGAAAAAGTTCAACATCTTGGATGCTGTGGATAATATAGCCAAGTCATGGGATGAAGTGAAAACCTCAGCTATGAATGGTTCATGGAAAAACATATGGCCAGAGTGTGTCCATGAATTTCAAGGTTTTTCACAAGCTGAAAGTCTACAGTAAGTTGACATTATGACACTTGCAAATAATGTAGGCTTTGAAGAAGTCGTAGAAAATGATGTGGTTGAGTTGCTAGAGTCCCATAGAGAAGATTTGACTAATGAAGATCTGATGATGCTGGAACAAGAACGAGCTGCAGGACAAGGGGATATAGAATCTCCACCCACCCCACTTCAGTTGACAACAAAGGATATGTCTGAAGCATTTGCACTAATAGAGGAAGGTCTGCAAATCTTTGCTGATAACGACCCCAACCGTGAAAGGAACATCAAGATTGCAAGAGCAGTTAACAATGCTTTCAGTTCCTACACTGAGCTGTACAAGGAGAAGGTGCGCCGTAAACGTCAAACAACTTTGGATGAGTTATTCAGAAAAAAGCTGAAAGCAGATAATGATTTACAGGGCAGGGCAGAAGAGAGTAGTGCCCCTCCCTCTCCCTTCCAATAACTTCCTTTGCACCACCTATCCTCACACAGCAGTCAACATCTTTTGTGGTAAGTACAGGACAATATTTTTATTTATTCCAACTGTATTTCTCTTCATATTACATGTATATCATGAATTATTTAATGTACTGTATTGTATGTGTTTATAAATGTTTATTTTCATTCATAAAAGTGCTTGAATTACGTTTTAGGGGCCTAAAAAAAATTCCGTAGGAACGCATCTCCAGTTTTATAATGGAAGTCAATGGGAAAATAGGTTTCGCGTTACGGAATTTCGTGATACGGTCAATTTCCAGGGACGGAACCCTTCCGTAACGCGGGGGATGCCTGTACTGTAAATTGCAAGTTTAACCCCGTATGTATCGGCGGGTGTTCGTAAGTCGGGGGCCCCCTGTAATAGTAATTAAAGTTCTTCACTTGAAAGTAACCCAATACTTTTTTGTCTGACTAGATAACACTCAGAGAGCCAATAAAACAGATTTGTTATTTGTTTACTGCTTAAAACACTTTTCACTTTTCCAACTTCAACATTTAAATAAAGTACTAGCAAAACCATTGTTTTCTATTTAAGTAGTGTGCCCAATAATGCCAGGACATTTACCAGATAGCCTACAATACTGTACAGTAATACCTGTTCACATATTAGTACAGTAATCAGTAATGACACTTACGTCCACTTAACATTCTATCATTTTGTATCAATGAGTGTACCCTTGAAATCTTGTCCCAGCCAGGCAGAAATACTAGGACAGCACCCATAGGCTGCCGAGCAATGTGACGCAGCAACTCCAATATCAAGTCCGTATTTAGTTCTTCACTGGTCTTCTTATACAGCTCATCTAGGGTCTGGCTTGAATACTTTTGATTTTGTTCTAGATTTCTAATAGTAAAATGGATATAATTAATTTTAAGGTGTACGTATGTAATTTCATACTACAGGTGCTCCTCTACTTAAGAAAGTTCAACTTACAAACTTTCAGATACAAACATCATCACTGAGGGGGGTTACCTACCAGAACAGGTGTTCAATGTGGATGAGACAGGACTATTTTGAAGAAAATTCCAGATAGAACAAACATTACTAAGAGCAGAAGAGTGAGCCAGGTTTTAAGGCTGTATTAAAGGGTATAGCTGTACTAAATATCCATAATCTTTTCGTTTTTTACAATATGTTTGGTATCTACAGGAGTAAAGTTGGACTTGCAAACAAGCTTCAGGAAAGTAACTCGTTCGTAAGTAGAGGAGCACCTGTATACTGTACTATATATAGGTTTAAGGAATAATGCACCGAAGAAAACTTTGATTTATGACAATACAGTATTAATGATTTTTCTATTTTATAATAACTGTAGTATTGTACTATATACTTTGCACCTTCTTATCTATTTGCAATAATCTTTTTTTCACATTTGAAACATTTTAAGAACTACAGGTACAGTGGGGTATGCTATAAAGAACGGATCCTACTACGAATATTCCTATAACAAACGGTTTTACCTATAAAATTGAGAATGCTATAACGAACGAAAATCCTACAACGAACATTATTTAAATTTTTTTTTTCCCTAATTTATTGTTTTTTATTACAAGTATTAATGATATTCTTTATTTCAGGGGTTTAGATGCATATGTATGCACTTTTTTACAATTTTTACAATTTTATATTATATTTTTCAGTGCTAAGTGGTTGTATTTGGGGGCCTGGAACGAACGAATCCTATAATGAACGAATGCTATAACGAACAAGGTTCTAGAACCAATTAGATTCGTTATAGCATACCCCACTGTATATGTAATTAATTTTATGAAAAACATTTAATTACCGTATTTTACAACATATAAGATGCATCCTCCATTTCAGGAGGGAATATTTAGGGGAAAAACTTTTGTGTATACAGTAATTTCCTCCTGTAGCCATACCAGTAAATGTGAGGAAAAAATAAAATAATACCAATATATAAATTTAAAAAAAATACTGTACCTGTATTGCTATTTGGCTGCTGGGTAATGAAATTTGTCAATATAGTTTCACTACACAAGTGAGACAGCTCAGAACAGCTGAGATCCCTCACTGCCTCCTCATCTTAACACACGAAGAAAGTTTATTCCCTTTTATGTTTTGACCTTATGATAATTATTTATATATTTTTTTTCTTACATTCTGTTAGATTAAGTGTGCATGTAACATTAAAAAAATAAATAAATAAGTACTGTATGTCTACTCAAAGTTACGAGTTGAAAAATAACCATAAAATAGTTCACACCTTGGCCTGGAGTGGTAGGGGGAGGGCCAGGGGGATGTGGCTACAGTGATGAGTCTTGTGTATCTATTACAAATACAAAACTAATATAAAATACTGAAAACAAGTGAACGTTTACAAAAATATAAGGATCATCACAGATGTACAGTAATGCCCTACACAGGAAGTCAAAAGGCTGAAGGAAACTCAACTCTTTGTACCTCCTATCCCAGCATTCATAAACCACACTATCAGTTATAAATAAATTTACTTGAGTACTGTACTCAAGTAACATTCTTGGGTACAGGAAAGCCTGCGATAACGAAGGTTCTACTAACAACGATTTGTATTTAAAACCCTGTTTAATTTAGGACCCAATTCAATTTTCACTGTTATTTAATTCGTATTTACAAAAAAATAAAAAATAAAAATTAAATTATATTTCATATAAATAATAACTAAACCCCAACAAAGTGATATCCAAGTTAGCTGGAACAATTGGTGCAGAGCATTTCTGGGAATGAGAGATTTCCGGGTAACAAGACGACTTTTTCAAACCCGAAAAAATTCCTTATCCCCGGAACCTCTAGCACAGACGCACACTCACCCACTTCGCCAGAATATTTCTGGGTGCTGGAGATGTTTTCCTCGAGTCTGAACTACTGGAGTCAGTAAACAGCCAAAATTTAAACATGATACCCGAGGCACCACAATATAGAGATAGTGAAGAAAATAGATTAAGCGAGACAGTAGTGACTATTACCGACACTAGTAAGCAAATAGACAAGCCTAATAAGTCGCCAGGTCCCGATGAGATATTTGCCAGAGTATTAAAGGAATGTAAGGAAGAGCTTAGTATGCCCTTAGCAAAATTTTTTTAACCTGTCCTTAAAAATGTATATAGTACCAGAATCCTGGAGGATAGCGAATGTAATACCGATTTTCAAGAAGGAAGATAGATCACTATCCTCTAACTACCGTCCAATCAGCTTAACATCAATTGTAGGCAAATTACTGGTAGCAATAATTTCAAACTGTATTCAAAATCACCTGGAGAAGCACAAGTTGATCAATGATTCCCAACATGGCCTCACAAGCGGGCGTTCATGTCTAACTAATCTATTAACATTCTTTTCAGCTGTTTTTGAATCAGTGGACAAGGGGCACGTCTATGATGTGGTATATCTTGACTTTAGTAAAGCCTTCGACAGAGACCCACACGAAAGACTAATAAGAAAAGTGGAGGCTCATGGCATTGGAGGAGATATTCTAAAATGGATTAGTGCAAGGTTACAGGACAGGAAACAGCGAGTGAGCATTAATGGCACTAAATCCGATTAGAGTAACGTCACTAGTGGGGTACCCCAAGGCTCAGTACTTGGACCATTATTATTTATTATATACATAAACGACATAGATATCGGCATAGACAGCAACATAAGGAATCTGCTATGACACTAAAATAGGGTGTACTGTATATTAAATCTGACGAGGACTCCGCAAAACTACAGGAAGATCTAAAAAACAATTTTTGAATGGTCTAAAAAATGACAGGTGAAATTCAATGTGGACAAACGTAAAGTACTTAGTCTAGGAGATGTAAACAGAGAAACCAGATATCAGATGAACAACGATATTATAGAGAAATATGAATGTGAGAAAGATTTAGGAATAATGATAAGTAGGAATCTTAAGCCGAGTAAACACTGTGTATTTGCTCGAAACAAGGCTAATAAAGTACTTGGGTTCATAAAAGGAGTGTTAGTTACAAGACTAGAGAGGTTATCCTAAAATTATATCTTGCGCTTGTGAGACCTCACTTGGATTACGCAGTTCAATTTTGGTCACCGAATGTGTGTGTGTACTCTCTCTCTCTCTCCTCTCTCTCTCTCTCTCTCTCTCTCTCTCTCTCTCTCTCTCTCTCTCTCTCTCTCTCTCTCTCTCTCTCTCTCTCTCTCTCTCTCTCTCTCTCTCTCTCTCTCTCTCTCTCTCTCTCTCTCTCTCTCTCTCTCTCTCTCTCTCTCTCTCTCTCTCTCTCTCTCTCTCTCTCTCTCTCTCTCTCTCTCTCTCTCTCTCTCTCTCTCTCTCTCTCTCTCTCTCTCTCTCTCTCTCTCTCTCTCTCTCTCTCTCTCTCTCTCTCTCTCTCTCTCTCTCTCTCTCTCTCTCTCTCTCTCTCTCTCTCTCTCTCTCTCTCTCTCTCTCTCTCTCTCTCTCTCTCTCTCTCTCTCTCTCTCTCTCTCTCTCTCTCTCTCTCTCTCTCTCTCTCTCTCTCTCTCTCTCTCTCTCTCTCTCTCTCTCTCTCTCTCTCTCTCTCTCTCTCTCTCTCTCTCTCTCTCTCTCTCTCTCTCTCTCTCTCTCTCTCTCTCTCTCTCTCTCTCTCTCTCTCTCTCTCTCTCTCTCTCTCTCTCTCTCTCTCTCTCTCTCTCTCTCTCTCTCTCTCTCTCTCTCTCTCTCTCTCTCTCTCTCTCTCTCTCTCTCTCTCTCTCTCTCTCTCTCTCTCTCTCTCTCTCTCTCTCTCTCTCTCTCTCTCTCTCTCTCTCTCTCTCTCTCTCTCTCTCTCTCTCTCTCTCTCCTCTCTCTCTCTCTCTCTCTCTCTCTCTCTCTCTCTCTCTCTCTCTCTCTCTCTCTCTCTCCTCTCTCTCTCTCTCTCTCTCTCTCTCTCTCTCTCTCTCTCTCTCTCTCTCTCTCTCTCTCTCTCTCTCTCTCTCTCTCTCTCTCTCTCTCTCTCTCTCTCTCTCTCTCTCTCTCTCTCTCTCTCTCTCTCTCTCTCTCTCTCTCTCTCTCTGTCTCTCTCTCTCTCTCTCTCTCCTCTCTCTCTCTCTCTCTCTCTCTCTCTCTCTCTCTCTCTCTGTCAGCTAACTTGTGCACAAAGAAATGTTTATTCACTTTATATGTTTGATCTTAACATTATAATTTTTGTTTTTCTTCTTTTTCTGCACTGTGTATGTAGGATGGTGTATGCATGTAACTGAGGAAAAAAAATTGGTTATGTTTATCTATCCAAAAATACAAGTTGAAAAACAGCCATAACACCTCAGAGTTTGGCCCACAAGCCTGGTGGTTATAGCAACGAGTTTAACTTGGCTACAATGCCACCAACAATGTTAACAGATGCAAATGTGAAAAGAAAGTTATCTTAAATCTTCATTTGTATCACGTAATTGTAGATTTAAAGATAAATGTTGCAGGTATGACGTTAATAGATACTCTGTAGTAATGCTATTAAGAGTTCAGAAATGGTTCCTGCTTACCTCTGAAGAGTTAGGTGCCTGCCATACGGACGCTAATCGTGTTGGGTTATTATCATCAGTGTGGTAGTTATATATCCAGCTTCTATATTTACAATAATTCTCTCTTTTTTGTAAAATAATTAAAATTAATAATAATGTGCTTATGTAAGCAATAACATATTTTTAATTCTGGAGATGAGCTGGGTAGAATTTACCTTACTGGAGACAGCAACTGGGGGATTCATTAGCCTACATATAGGATTCAGGATGATTTTTTTTGCCACTTTTCAGACAAAAATGTATCTTATGTGACATAAAATATGGTACCCATTATTTTTAAAGAAAAAGAATGTTACATCGTATCATGAATCCAACACCAAGGTTTAATCCAACTCTCCAGTAATTTCTTGCATTTTCCAAGTGGTTTACTGTACAGTACCTAATTTCAAGCAGTTAGAAAAGCAGCCAGCAAGTGAAATGAACAGCAGTAAGTCCTTGCTTAACCTTTAAGCCCCAGGTTAGGGGCTGGTGATAACTTTTAGCAATATTACTTTGTTAAAACATGATAAAATGGACAATGAAAATGAAACAAACAAAAGTAGGTACAGTGGTCCCTCAGTTAACGAATGGTTCGGTTAATGAAATTTCGGTTAACGAATTACCTTCCATAACAATCTTCAATTCGGTTAACGAACAAAAATTTGATTAACGAAATCCTTACGAACATCACGTTTTGTTGAGTATCAGCTGATCAGCTGATGGGCTGGTCTGCCAATTCAGTAATCTGTTCTATGTTTACATTTGTTTCCAGTGGAGTAAATATCAAGAAAATTGTGCTCTTTAATATTTTTTTATATTAAAATTATTGGTCATTCTAAAATTTAGCCATCCAAGCTCTGTCTACATAAAGTTTTTCAACTATTATTTTTGGCTCCTATATGTAACTTTATTCATTTACTGAAACTCAATTACATGCATACACTGTCCTAAGGGCAAAGCTGTACTGTACATGTAATCCAAATAATGTACAAAATTAATACTAAAATTTTTGTCTAGTGCAAACTATTGCATGTTTACATTCAAATTAATCACTATCATATAAGAATTCCAGCAATGTAAATTATATTCTCCCTGGTCACTTCTATGAAATTTTATGAGCAAAAAACAAAAATTAAATCTAAAGGAAATATATAAACAAATAAATACTTCACTAGACCTTTGGCGCCTAACTGTCAAACATGCCACTGTCACCCCTCCCTCCCTCCCTCCCTCCCAGCAAGGATTTCATGGTTATACAGTAGGCTTTAAGTTTTTATCTTCTATAATATCGCAAACTAAAGTTAGGAGAATATAATTTGCATTGCTGGAATCCTTGCAAGACAGTGAATAATTTAAAAATAAACGTCATATATTTTGCACAAGAGAGAAAAATTGTAGTACAATTAGTGTACTGTATTATATTTTATAATGTAAAGTTTTCAACTGTATTTTTGGGTAGATTTACATAAATATCTTCATTTATTTTCATCCATTACATGCACACACCATACTAAAAGAAACGTAAAAGAAATAAATGACCTTAGTGCAAAGCTGGAGTGCACATGTACTAAACTGATTACGGTACTAAAATTGTTATGTCTAGTGCAAATTATGGCTTGTTTATATTCAAATTAAACACTATCTTACAAGAATCCCAGCAATGTAAATTATATTCTCCCCGGTCATTTCACTGGCATTTTATAAGAGAGAAGCTGAGTCACTTAAGGACTGATAAATAAACACACAATAGACCTTGGGCGCCAACTGTCAAACGTATCACCCCCCCACCCCTCCCTCTCCCCCAGCCCCAGCCAGGGTTTTAGGCTTACAGTTTTTATCTCATATAATATCTCAGACTAAAGTTAGGTGAATATAATTGTCATTGCTGGAATCCTTGCAAAACAGCGAATAATTTAAATATAAACGTCATATATTTTGCACAAGAGATAAAAATCAATCACTTGTATCACATTACAATAGTGATTTAAGAGTGTATATATATATATATATAAAAGCCTAAAATCACCTTCACCCTATAAATCTTTATTGCCATCTGTCTGGGAGGAAGGGGGAGGTGAGGTGTTGACAGCCAGGAGGGGATATTACCAAGTGAGTAGTTATCAGTGGATGGGGAATGGGTCAGGGACTCAGGATTATACAATAGAGGAAGTTTAAGGTTTTTGCTTATAAAATGTCAGACTTGACTTAGCTGAATGTAACTTGCACTGCTGAAATTCTTGCAAGAGTGATTAATTTGAGTATAAACATCACATAGTTTACACAAGAGATAAAAATTTTAGTCCTTTAGATTGGTACTTGTGGGTATTAAGTGAGTACAGTAATATGATGTAAAAATTATGGCTTTTTAGAAATTAACTTAGTACATTTGAGTACGGGTTGTGATAATTGTAATGATTTTTCCACAACTTTTATAAATTCAGTTTCCTCTGAAGATGTCAAATTATATATCATATTTTTTCTAGTGTTTACCAGTCAGCCTCCCTCCCTCCCTGCCTGCTCCCTCCCTCCAACTCACAGTGTCTCACAAAAGATTTTAAACTTTAGATGTTGTGTGTGTGATGTTGTGGTGTTGGGGTATTAATTAATGAATAAAAACTGGGCTATGGTTAGAAATGCTTTGAAAGCATTTGAGGTGGATGTAGGGTAGATGATTAGTGGGTCTCATGTTTTTGACCTGACCTGTTGTTATGTCACCCATTTATTTACAAGTTCCTCTTTTGTTTGCAGTGGAGGTGGTGTGTAGATTAGTGGATCCCATGTTATCGACCTGACCTGAAGTTGTGTAAGTTCACTCATTGTATACAGTGTAAGACTCTCTCAGTCCCTATAAATTCACTTGCCTTTGAAAATGTCTTGAAGACAAAAGCTAAGGTGCTCTAGTGTTTCCCTTTTCCTGTGTGGTTTTATCAAGTACAGTATGTTAGTGGTAACAGTTTCCTAAATACTCCCTGCTAAAATGGGGGTACATATTATATGGTGATTTTTTATACCATTATTGATCGTTTTCATACATTTAGTACATTTGCTGTAGGCTGAAGTAGGTTTTATTGTATCATGTGTCTCTGAAGTGTCTCCATAGGTGTGAGCGTATTAACGGAATTAATATTGATTTTGCAAACTAGTTCACTAAATCGAGCGAAAAATAATGGAAAAAATGCCTTCTGCTAAATTGAGAGTTCATTATGCTGTATTGGATTCCATTAAATCTAGAGTATACTGTATATGAAAAAGTTTGGTATTTTTAGTCCAGATAAATTATCACAATACTGTACTGAATTTTTTGTTATGTAAAATACATTTTTGGCAACACAAGACTGTAATAAACACTAAATATCATATATACAGTACCTTATATAAGGTGCAATCATATCTTCAAATTCTTGATTTTTCTTGTGGTCTCGTCTTCTCCAGACGGGTATTTTCTCATCATCAAACTTAAATCTGGACAAGGAGATAAAATCAGTACAGTAATAGAAACCGATAAGAGAGCCTGTAAATCTCATTTTAAAATAAAGGAAAGTTAAGGACACTTGTGTTTTTGCCTATTAAATCTATGGATTGGAAGCAAGGTTTACTCATTCCTGATATTGTTGGTTGGTACCAATAAATTATTTGAAAACTCTAACAATCCCACTATAACTAATAAAAATTGGGACTTTGCTGACTACAGTTACCACAGAAGACTGAAGAGTGACAAGTCTTAATGCCCAAGTAACCTACGCAACCTCGCTTTCTGTTGTTCATTAGACGCATTGGATTTCTATTTTCTAGGACCAACTGACAGCCTAATAAGAGCATCACAACAGACCTACTGGTATTTCCAGGGCCAAATCATCCCTTACAATGAACCATCAATGCTATGGATAAGCTTAGTTTCTTGGTAGAGATGGTATGAGCTTGTGAGTAAAATGCAAGAGGAGGGGAGAGTTAAGAGTGTGTATGGGGACAATGTAGCAAATGCATTGGGCTGAGGAAGACCTCCTACTCTGTGGGAGGTGAAGGTGGAACAATAAATTAAGGAGAGTGTGAGTGAATGTGTGGAGTGAGAGAATGAAAGTGTAGAGTAAGTGAGAGATTGTGGAGTAAGTAAGAGTGTCAGAGGCAGATCAAGGAATAACAAAAAGGGGGTCCAAAAAATTGTGTATGGGGGAAAATGGCAAGCACAGTGAGTCCACCCAGCTGAGAGGGTTTGGCCCCCAGCTGTAAGCCCCTGCGTGGAAATTTTTTAATGTCTGACCAATACCTTAGTCATTTTTAGGTCATTTTGGGGCTACATGCACTTGATATTAGGAAATATACTGAAGTCAATAGTAATTACTTTTTTACAATACAAAAACACCTGAGTACAATATTGCATTATAGTAAAGTATTGTAATTTTCTGATGAAAAGGGGAGGAGGTCCAGATCCCCAGGATCTGCCCCCGAGTGTGTGTGTGCTTGAGTGTATACATGTGTATTTTCTTGATCTTGTCCATTATAGTGAGCTCTTGCTTCTCACCTCCCTGCATAAAAGCTCAAGCTCTCTTTACCTGGTCAGTTCTATGACATCCTCCAGATAGTATTCTTTGACAGGGAAAGTAAAGCCAGGAATGTGTAACATTGGACAGTTTCCGTAGTATTCTGAGAAGAGTTCAGCATTCAGTGTAGCACTCATCAACACAACCTTCAGATCTGGCCTCTGTAACAGTAAAAGAAAATATCACATACGTACTGTGCTAAAGATAGATACAGTACAAAGGTTCTCATTATACTACGAATACATAGAAAATTAGTTTCATACTCTACCTGTTTCCAGTAGTTTATACAGGGTGGTCCAGAAGTCCATAATGAAATTTAGTTGGGACGAAAGTGTAATTACCAGCAGACCCCAGGAGGGTTCTGTTCCTGAAAACACTTTGTAATCTGATTTTTTTTCATAGCACATTTTCCCATTGACTCATGTTGCATAAATTAAAATTTATTTATATATATATATAAATTAAAATATATATATATATATATATATATATATATATATATATATATATATATATATATATATGGTCCATTCCAGCAGTTCACTCTTAG